ATTGTAACTAAGTATTTTGGCGTCCTGGACTTGTCCTGGGCTTGCATATATATGCTAATTACTGTAGCACACATCCCTAGCATGAACTATGAACAACAACTTGATTCACTTGATACGAAAGCTGACCTGTACAGACTTCTATGTAGTGTCGCAAGCTCAGGTAAGCATGCGATATCCACACCGGCTTCGAATCGATGCTGCACTGCACAACAACTCAGACGACGATCTGGCAGGCTGGGACAATAATTATTTTGCCTTTCATCGGCGCATCACACTCCTGCGCTCATGGACCCCTGCGACCAGTAGCCCAAGCAGTTCTTATGCTCAGGGTCAAAACACAAGGCTTGACTGCATGAAGCGCAAGCAGCACGTGACTCAGCCAGCAAGCCTAGTGCCCTGTATAATCAGCGGCATGGCCCAATAGACTTGACAGCTTGCCTAAAGATCTGATTTATTCGAGAGCTGCTTGCGTTTGCAATATACAAGCCACCCCAGCCCCTTTCAAGCAACACAGATCATCTAGCAGCGGGCTCGCTTTACAGAAGCCTCGTCGCCCTCTTCGGGCCAAGCCTCCTCTTCCTGGGCCTCCTCCCATTCTTGTTCCTCCTCATCGAAATCTTCATCCTCCCCTTCCTTGCCCGCAGCCTGCTCCTGCTGTTTCTTCTTCTCTTGGTCTTTCTCACGCTTTCGCTTCTCAGCGGCTTTGCCTAAGTCTTTAAGCTTTTGCATATACATGTCATATGTGTATGAAAGCATATCGGAATAGGTTAAGCTTAGGAGCGGCGTTCCTGCCCTTGATAAATCCCTTCGGCATCAAGAACTTGTCGTTGAAAGTCCTGCCGGCCCCGTGAACTGAATCAACAATGAGTCAAGCTTGCAAACAAATCGATCCTGGAGGGGGTCTGCTTTGTAAGCATTCAGAACCTCCAGGCATTCGGACATCGGCTTGGATGCGAAGATCATGGACTGGATCCTGGGATAGCAGAAGGTTCTCCATTGGGCTTTTGGTGTTTGGGACTCCTTGGGACTGCGATATATTGGGGCATCGGGGTTTGGAACTGGCGTGTAAATCTGGGTTTAAAATTTACATACTAAGAGTTCTGGTATACAGTCTCAGGGTTTAATATTGCAGGGTTTTGGAACTGGATTTCGGGCATTAGTAGTTTCATGGGGTGGCTTTGAGGTTAATACCTTCAGTTGGGATTGAAACTATACCTTCACGGGTGCAGACGAAGCACTCGTCGCGGATTCGCTTGCATTCATTGGTTATGAAGCCTAGCCGTTCGACCTGCGATTCCTGGTTCGCCAGTCCACAATTGGCTAGCCCGGCTGCCACGGCAACCGCTTTGTCCTCCAAATCGCGAATCCTGAGTTATATGGTTGATGGGCTTGCGGTGGCACACATGCAGTCTTGTCGGGTCCAGGGTTTAAAGGTAAGCCGGGCAACGACTGTCGGTCTTTGAGAAAGTTCTTCGCTTCCACCTCCTCCGCAGTCAGCTCCTGGAAACAGGTAGTGTAAACCCCCTTAGAGCAAAATGATTCCTAATCCCCGATGGTCCTTTTTTCCCTTTTGATTCTTTCCACGACCTTTGCCGTTGCCTTTCGAGGAGGCTGCAGTTGTCATCTTTGACATATCAGCGACCTTGCCCTCCATCGCTTCAGCAATGGCCGCTCGCTCCGCACGGTTGCCGGATGCAGTCATCGATGCTTTTGTTTTGTTGCCAACTCGGCTTATGTTGGAGCCTTAGTTGTAGGGCGCATGACTGAAACCTTAAGGTTACAGTAAGTACAACTAGCATGCAATCACACGACGGTCTTCATGATGACAAGGCACTGCTGATAGCCACATGTTTGAACACTTTGTAAATCCTCATGTGGTCGCTGTCGCTCTGCGGATGTCGTTTTCCAACCTGACCTTATACTAGATCGGAGCCAATGTTCTTTGTAATGGACAACTATAATGCAGAGTTGAGGCAGCGGCTGTTCTTGATGTCCTCCAGTAACTTGGCTCCTCCTGGTAAGTTCTGGTAGCGTTCCTGTATGAGGCAAAACGGCAGCTCTTCATAGAGTTCTTTCTCTTTGCTTTCCGAAAGCCTGAGTTGAGTCTATGTCGAAGCTTGCTAGCACGTCTGACATCTGTGAACGTGTGGTCATCAATGAGCCCAGGCACTCCTCGAAATACGGTGATACCGTGATAGTTGCCAAATCCTTGTCTAGGAGGAAAGCCTTCAAAAAGGCAAACCTTGGTCGTGGCTTTGGTGCTTCGGGATATGATTACTTAGGGGGTTGAGGGCTTCAAGGTTCTGCTGGGATGATGAAGTGTAGGGAAGTCACCGGGCCAAAGATCCCGCAGGGGTTGATGCCCATTGAGCCACGAGGCCCTTCCGCAGTCCTGCAGGCAGGTCACTCTGAATAAATCATTGATAGAACATGTGCCCGGCCAGTCAATCCTCCAGTGATATATAGGTTTAGGGCTAGGGGGGGAGGTTTTAGAGTTTAGGGATAACCCGCCTTGTCCGTTGTTCATACGGCGGCGCAATTTCTCATTCAAGGCCTTGCGCTGTTGCAAGGGGATGTCGCTGGGCTTTTGCAGAGCCTGGGCAAGAGAGATACAGGGGTAGGTTGATGTTTGGGGTTTATGCAGTTCAATTGAATGGTCCGGCTGCTGCAGAGCACCTCAATCTTTGCTCGTTCATCCTCAGTCAACTCTCGGACCTCAGATTCGGTACAGTGCAGAATAGGAATTCTGATAATTGGGGTTTGGGTTTAGGGTTTAGGGTAGATCCCCACACATGTGCACATGCACACACCTGTACTGTGTATATAACATGAGTCATTATAGTAAAGACACATATTGCCACTGAGCCACACCGTTATGATCAGGCAGCATCAAGGGCTCCATCTCCATAGGGCCGTCACCATCAGTCATAGTCGAGATTCCAGTGTCCGAACGAATAAGCGATTTTGAAGGCCTGGGTTTAAGGTAGGCATTTGCCGACACAGCAGTGTTAAAACAAAAACAGCACTACTTGCACATGTACATGCATGGTGACATCGACTCAGGCTGTTTGTCTAGCAGCTTCGCATGAGGCGGCGAAGGGGTCATAGATCCCGATGCATCGGAGGCTGCACAGGTTGCGTATAGTGGATCTCTCATGGGTTTAATTGGGGGGGGGCTACAATCTAGAGATTCGGGCTGTGGGGGAGATTTTGGCTTGTGTTCGTAATACATAGGGGGGGGGGCTGCGGGTTACTTGCATGGAGTACTTCTTTATATGACACACACACACACAGAGACAGAGAGTATACACAGACACACGCACACACGTGCACAAAATCACTCGGACATCTTGCACAACTGCACACCGATGCGCGCAAAAAATGGCCTCCTCCGAAGGACACCCGGCGGCACACTCGGTGACTTTCCTCGTCCCAAGATGCCTTCCGTTTGCACGTGACAGCCAGCGAGGCCTCCTCAGTACCTTTGCCACCAGAGTGGCCCTTGCCCTTCATGTGGTTGCCTTTCTCGGTTCCAACTCCTTTGGATCCTTTGCCCTTCGGCTTCATGATCAAGTCACCTGGTGACTGTGTCGATGTTGCCTCGCTCGGGGGAGTACCTGTCATTGGGCTGGTTGCCTTTGTCTTTGGTGGCGGTGTGTGATCTGGGCTGCTCTCCTGCCCACGTCCTTTGCCAACCGATGCTGGGGAGCCGCTGGGGCCACGTGGGGTACTGCCCTTTGCTGCGTCCTTACCGCCACCGCCGCCCTTTGCTGGATCCGTACAGCCTCCTACGCTGCCCTTTGCTGCATCCTTACCATCGCCTTTCTTGCCACCGCCACCCTTTGCTGCATTGGCTTTGCCACCGCCCTTTGTTGGATCCTTACCACCGGGTTTGCCACTGCCCTTTGCTGCATCCTTAGCACCGGGTTTGCCACCGCCCTTTGTTGGATCCTCACCACTCGGTGTGCCACCGCCCTTTGCTGCATCCTTACCGCCGGGTTTGCCACTGCCCTTTGATGCATCCTTACCACTGGGTTTGCCTCCGCCCTTTGTTGGATCCTCACCACTGGGTTTGCCACCGCCCTTTGCTGTGTCCTTGCCTCCGGGTGTGCCACTGCCCTTTGCTGCATCCTTACCACTGGGTTTGCCGCCGCCCTTTGCTGGATCCTCACCCTCGGGTTTGCCACTGCCCTTTGCTGCATCCTTACCACCGGGTTTGCAACCGCCCTTTGTTGGATCCTCACTGGGTTTGCCACCGCCCTTTGCTGCATCCTTACCGCCGGGTTTGCCACTGCCCTTTGCTGCATAGCTGGGCTTGCCACCGCCCTTTGTTGGATCCTCACTGGGTTTGCCACCGCCCTTTGCTGCGTCCTTACCTCCGGGTTTGCCACCGCCCTTTGCCGCGTCCTTACCTCCGGGTTTGCCACTGCCCTTTGCTGCATCCTTACCAGCACTGGGCTTGCCGCCGCCCTTTGCTGGATCCTTACCACCGCCTTTGCCACAGCCCTTTGCAACACCTTTGCCGGCTTTGCCGCCACTTAAGGTCTCCGTAGGAACCTTTCCCACGAACTCGTAGCGCCGTGGACGTGTTTCCACCGACACAGACACACCTTCCGAATGGGATTCGGGGCTCCCCTTCTTTCCTTTAGACCCAGTCCCACGACCCATGGCGCGGAACCAAGCTACGATACCCAACTTTGATCCTCGATCGTGATGCTTCGGGGCCCGCGCGACCTGCTAATTGTGTATATCAAGGGATACACGCTGATACACGCTAATAGCTGGTTCTTACCCGCAAATACACGCAGATACACGGGTATACACGCTAGCGGTCTTTCTGCTTCGATTGGCTCCATAGGCAAAACTTGGTTTATGCAGTCGTTGCACGATAAAACCGCTCATCGGCCGTGCTATATATGCAAGCAGCTGACCCCATCATTCTCAAGCCACTTTGCATCAGGACTGCTACGAAGCCCATTCACTGCTACTGCGATGGCATCCTATTTGCCGACCAAGTTCTCGAGGCCCGAATCAGAGCTGTCACCATCCGAATCATCATATAATAGCATATTCTCCTCATCGACAGCGGGCTTCGGCTTCATAGTCTTGAAGTGCTTGTCCAATTGATCGGCAACCTGAGCACATAAAGGGATCTCGACCGACTCGATGCACCAACAGCCAGTATATGCGTGCTATATTGCAGCTTCAGACCAGTAGCCTTGAAAGCGAAAGTGCCAGGGTAGATACCAGTAGCGGTCAGGTCTTTCCCACCGACCTGAATTGTGATCAAGCAGGTGTTTCTACATATACCTATATATGTATATATATATATATATATATATATATTGGTCTACCTTTTGCAAAACGAATTGCCAGGGCACTCGGCGTTCGCGGCCGGCTGCATCCACATACCCGTGGCTGATATCCATCTTCAGGAAGGATTGGATGCGTCGCAGCTGCGTCCTGCACATGAATATATGAGTTAAGACATAAGCCGAAAACTTAGTCTCGACCGTGCCGCTCGGCTGCTCTATACAGTTCTTGTAATAAGTCTTGCCGGGTAAACTTATAAGCCTTCTTAGTTTAAGGTCGTTACAATAAGTCATGATCGAGCCAGCAGCTCGTGCTGGAGTAGGACCACTATAGTCTTAGTTATGGTACGTTGGCTGGATTGATTGGACATTCCTCGGTGCGGGCTCACCGGGTCGACTGATAGATATAATATAGTTGTTTACTACAGGGTCTTCTCTATATATAGCTGAGGAACTAGTCTCGTTCTCGAGATGGTTTAGTTTGGTTGGTTAATTAGTTAGTTAGTTTTAGGTAGTTAGTTATAGTTAGTTAGTCAGTCAGTTAGTTAGTAAGTTAAGTTAGTTATTAGTGAATTAGTTAGTTAGTTGGTTAGTTGGTTAGTTGGTTAGTTAGTTAGTTAGTTACTTAGTTAGTTAGTTAGTTAGTTAGTTAGTTAGTTAGTTAGTGGGTTAGTTAGTTAGTTAGTTAGTTAGTTAGTTAGTTAGTTAGTTAGTTAGTTAGTTATAGTTAGTGGGTTAGATAGTTAGTTAGTTAGTTAGTTAGTTAGTTAGTTAGTTAGTTTGTTTGTTTGTTTGTTATAGCTATAGCTAGAGCTATATAGCTATAGCTATAGCTATAGCTATAGATATTTAAATAGTTAGATAGATAGTTAGTTAGTTAGTTAGTTAGTTACCTTCTTCTTCGATGCCCTGTACACCGTGGCGGTGGCGTCCCCTGGGCTCGAATCAAGTTCATCCGGAGCCAAAAGCTGAACTTAAAGGAGACTGAAAGAGGTTCTTTTAGTTGGTTAGTTAGTTAATTAGTTAGCTAGTAAGTTATAGTTGGTTGGTATTAGTTGGTTAGTTAATTTGTTAGTTAGTTAATAGTTACTATATACTTAGTTAGTTAGTTAGCTAGTTAGTTAGTTAGTGAGTTAGTTAGTTAGTTTGTTAGAAGTTTAGTTAGTTATAGTTGGTTGGTACAGTAATAGTTGGTTAGTTAATTCGTTAATTAGTTCATAACTACTATATACTTAGGGTTAGTTAGTTGCCTATGTCCGCTAGCAAATATTGCTTTGTGTGGGTGGTTGTACTTAGCTTTTTAACATAGCTAAACTGCGACTCGATCCTCCTTGATCCAGTCATCTGCGCGTATAGCTTGGCCAGGAACGGTGCGGTGCCCCATAGTGTAACCTGGGCAAAATTGAGGGTCTTATAACTGTTGTTGCCACGGGGCTCTTGAAGCTTTTTTCAATGTTTCGATGGTGTGCATACTGTGGCTGGATTTCGACATTTGTTCCTAGGCCTTAATGGAAGCCATATACCATGCAAGCAGCGCATTTGCGGGACGGTGCACCCACGGCACCCAGGCATAGATTCAGGCCTTTGGCTTTGTGCGCTTTCAGTCTGGCCTCAGCAGTGTAGCAACGACCGTGCATGGCACCCAGTAGTCTACATAACAATATCCTCTATCTTCAAGTCGGCACACTCGAATACACGGCATCTCAAACAACATGGAACCAGTCGGGTTCTCGAGAATGTAGTAGGAGCCGGATCGGAAATGATATTCCAACCTGAGAGCACTCTTGAAAATAAAGATCGATCTCGAAACTAAGGTTCCGAGATCCATATTATGCAGCCGGGCGACAAGTATGCCACGCGCCTTGCCAAACGATTTGCGGTGTGCACCTTCTGGAACTTCCGATCGCCTTCCAATATTGACACAGGAAGAGACCTAGGGTATTGGGGCTATCGATCCTCATGTCTCGAATTAACACAAGGCCTTTCACATTCAATCGTCGCCGCTTAGACGATCCACGACTCCTAGGCGTGCGTGCACTTAAGTACCAGCACCGAAATAGTTAACTAGTCTTGGATTGACAAGTATAGTGCAGCCCAAGCTCATAAAGACCCAGCTGCTACAGGGCACAGCATACCAGGCGACTCCCTGGGGACGAAGCCTTCTGGCCTAGAGTTGTCTGACCCCTGCGCAACGGAACTGGGGATTTGGGGTAGGGGTTAAGCTGTGAGTTCGGGCTTATCTGGGTAGCTATATACACACGTGTGACTTGGGGATATATATACTCATATTTTTTGTGGTTAAGGGTTGGGGTATATGTTTCCAGGGCATCACCCGGCAATATAACATCACGGTGTATGGCTGCTGGTGCTTCGCTCCATGGATAGCGTTATGGCTGTGTCACGGGAATTGGCGGGATATCCTTAATAAGCCGAGTTGCGGAGGTCAAGAATACCAAGAAGCCAAAAGCCGTTAAGATGTCCATTTTCGAGGAATACGCCACCTGGGGTATATCTATAATTAAATAGCCATCGATCAAACCTCACATCGACCTATACGTATCGTGATTGAAGCAACCGAGACACGTCCACGGCATGGGCTCTCAAGCCATAAAGTTTGGCAGCAGAATACAACAAATGTGCTCCTCGAAAAGTATTGATCTACAATCTTGGTTTGCTAGATCATGCAAACAGCAAGACATCATCGGTCCTGCAAAAATTTCCAGAAAATCGAGATCGTCTGGCTTCGGGCCAAAACCTCGGTAAGCATTCTGAAACCCCGATACCTCCAGCCCACCACTTGGAATCTTAGCTGCATGAGGAATAACGATGGCCGAGCTGCTCTTCCTCAATGTCGCCAAGGCCGGCAGCAATTTTGTGAACAGCATTGCGTATTCGGAAATCTACTAATTATAATCTTAAGATAGTTCATGTTGAATGACCCCCGAATACCTTCCTTTCAAGGACCTCTGAGCAACTTGCCAGATCGATCACAGGCTCATGACAGCATCGGGACATGCATATAGGCATAGACACACGTTCTGCAAACTTGTCGCTGAAGATCATCCCCAGGGCACTAGTCTTGCTGTCCTTTGAACAGCAAGTGAAAGCTGTGCACGCACACTGCCATCAACACTCCCCTGCGTCACTTAAGGCGGCAAGCAAACGATCTATGTGTTTTATAATTATAAGTCTTTATGCACATGTTTGGAGTGATCGACTATAGGCCCCATGACGCAAACCCCTGCGCTGAGACGCAGTAGATCACACACGGCTTCCCGGAAGAGTCACCAAAAGCTACTTCAAATAATTGCGTAGCGGCGACGCTTTTGCTCGTTGAGGTCCATATTGGCGAGCACCTTCTTGCGCTCATCACTGTAGTTCCACCTGAAGGCTGGCGATATCGTTTGTTGATTCTTCGGCAATCCGAAAACCCAACCCCTTCAAGACGCTAACCTTGAAAGAAACTAGCCTAAAGCCTATACAACATGTAACAGAGTTTTCGCGATGAGCGTGGGAGCTATATGTCACCGGCAGTATTGCAAGTGTGTTCACCGACTCACGTATAGTTCACAAATATATTTAGTCGTGCGACCATATTAGAATCGTTTCTAGCTTTCGACTGAATCACGAAAGATCATAAGCATGAATAGAATATGCGGCTCCACATAAACAAATAAATAAATATGTAAATGTGTAAATATGTAAATATGTATATATATATATATGTGTGTGTGTGTATCTATCTGGACACATGCACACAGTCTTTTGAAGGTTTGAGGGGTTTTAGGGTGGACGAGGGTTGATTTCTAATTAGGGTTTCGGCAATCGGCTGGTTGTTTAAGACAACTAGTGCCGAGTCCCCGATCCTGGCGAGACCCAACATCGTAACCCCATATGTGCAGCAACCGAGCTCCGACTGATAACCGCTACCAACACTAGCTAGGAACCAAACAACGTACCCTATATATATATATATATATATATATATATATCGCATGTGGTACATATGATCCTCAATCGGTGCAGTCCTTGCTTTGTAGATCGAAGCACATGGACCTTTATAGACACTAGCCAGATCCCTAATTCAGTACGTTAGAATATTTTGTTGCTGCAGGTACACAGGCCTCCCCTATAGCCATCTGAAATTCTGAATAGTGGAAACCAACTAACTCCTGGATCCCTAATTGACCACGGATTAGTCCAGGACACGTTCCTCGCTCATTCATATAGGCTCTCTCCGTACAGTTCAAAAATAACTCTAGTTCTATCAACTGATCGGTACCGGCAGCATGCATGACAGGAGTACCGATGACAGATTCGATCGAGCTCTATATGTGCCGGAGGACAGCATTTGCATAATTACTATGTAACGGTAGCCTCGGGCACTCCATACAGGGTTTGAGGTGCTTTGGAATAATACATCGGGGACCCATGACAGCAGGCTTTATAATTGACCTTAGCTGGAAAGTTCTGCAGCCCAACTTGCAATGCTCAGTCCAGACCTTAATCAGGTGCCCGAAGCAATGAAGATATTTGATGAATCCAATACTGGAACACTAATCCTAGCTGATCGAAGCCATTTGTTTTTTATTTTTGTTCATGCTGTTATTTACATATCGATTGTTCTCGAGACTTACGAGTAATATATAATATTTAGACATTCTAGGGTTTAGGGTATGGGGCTTTGGGTTAGGGGTACTTAAGTTACGGATTCACAACCTGGGGCTCCATAACTACCAGTATCTCAAACCTTTTGCATAAGCAGGCAGATATTTCATTTAGTGGCGAATCAGCCGGCCTATCGATCCGTGAAGTGTAGACCCCAGGGAAATCGGAGCTTCAGATCGACCGGGTTTATTGCCGAGAACAAAATCATTAACTTATTTATCGAAGCCTGAGACTCTGAACAACTGCATGAAGTTCCCGCCTTTGCTGTCGCTCCGAACCCGTCATCGGCGGAAGCCTGTACTGGTAGCACAAAACACAAGCCCGCGAACTTCAAGCTTGGGTTCCCGAGCTACGTAACACTATATTCAGATGAGAAACGTGGCAAAGAAAGCCTTTCGCTGGATGTTGTACTCGGTGTCTGCGTACGGTGCCCTTTTGGGTTTGTTGCTGGGCTTGTCGGAATCTGCAGCCTTTGCCTTTGCCTTTGGAGCCGCCTTGGCCTTGCCAGCTGCCGCCTTCGGCTTGCTCTTTTTGCTGTTCCCTGCCTTGCTAGTTTCTGTAGCCTCTACTTCTTTGTGCGCCGCGACAAGAAGCCGTTGGCGTTGCGGAACAATTGGGGTGTGCGGACCCTCCAATGCAGCCCGAACAACATCTTCGGGTACACCTGTCAATCCGGTCACTGCAGGGATGTGGAATGCCTGAGATAGAATCGAAGCAGTCGCTAAGCTCCAACCTAGTACAGGGTTGCACCAATCTTTCAAGCCAAGCCACAGCAGGACCCTTGCAGTCGCGTTTTCTATCAGCCGGCGGATGCATCACGGCCTGCATGCCATGCGCAAGCTTGGGAAGCGATGCGGCTGGGCCATGAGTTCATTTATAAAGCAGAGTCATGGCATCGACAGTGTTGAAGCTTCAGACCGACCGCGTGCACAAACATACAATTGGAGCGGACACGCTCTCAAACCTCTGACTCGATATCCTCTCAACCCGATAGCCTGATTGGCAGCTGCGGCGTCAATCTTCGGGCACCTGGGCAGGGTGTTTAGCATCTAGCTCTAAAATATGTCGGGGTTGACTGCTGGTATCAGATTCACTCAGTTGTAGACGGGTCGGTTGCAGATTTTGCAGCGGGGCCATTCGATGTTCCCTTTGCAGCCTCAGCGAAGTCTGCTATGATACTCGCGATTGAAAACTGAAATCATTGCAGCACACTTTAAAGCTTCCGAGAGTCCACGAGCTTCTTGCAGAGCTCAATTCGCTCCTCGTCTGTGGCCGCACGGCCAAGCTGGGAAACCAGGTCCTGCCATGATATGGGTATTGCAAGTTTAATAGCGTAGGTAATATTCACATATTAATGGAAATGTACAAATAACTACATGGCCATACAGATGTGAGCTTCATTAATTAATTAATTAATATATATATATATATAGGTGTATAGCTATATCTACATTCGTCGGTGAATCTTGCAACATACAAGTGTCTGTCTTTGCACAGTAAGAAAATTTTATGTACCATTGATATGAATTTACCTGTGTTCCTTTAAATGACACACACACACACAGATATGATTGGCCACAAACTTCATGATTCTGTTGCCTAGCTTTGAACTTTCTAATCTTTGAGCACGAACTGAATATAGAGCCCCCAAGCCTCGAATCTCGCACCATCCTATTCGAGTCTAATCAGGGGTCTTGTTGTCATCTACCCTGTCAATCTTAATGCGAATCTATTATGTTGAAATGATAGTCCTCGAGGCTCTGGGGCATCTCGTCGGGATTCGCATCATTTGTCTTGTCGATCGTAGGCTCCTGCACACTTACACAAACTGGAGCGGGGAGGTTATGATTCGGTCAAAAGCTAGTAAAGTGTTTGGCGGCTAACCTGCTTCTTCTCGAATAGCTTTCATGAGTTAACGGTATTAAGATTTGCATATATAGTTGTCTATCTAATATATCTATTATCCCTTTTCGTCATCTATGTGCTTTCTGTGCTTCGAGGGAGTAAGCTATCGTTAGCTTAGAGTTGTACTTATGTTCGAGCTTATGAGTATATAGATAGTATGTTCAAAAGGATAATCCTCGAGGCTTTTGTCCATCTCGTCGGGCTTCGCATAATTCTTCTTGTCGGTAGCGGTGCCCTCCTGCACACATGAGCAAACTCAAGGGGAAGGTTTACGAAGCATGCTAAGTTAATCAGACACAAAGGCTCCTTCACTTTGAATTGGGACCACCACACATCGAGGCGCTTTTGGTCGGATTCCGTAGGGTACTCCGAAGTCACCTCTCGAGTGGGCGCTTTAGGCCACTTTACCCATGTCGAAGCCCTCACGTGCTCTTCGGTCATCTCATCGGAAGGCGCAGGCCCCTCATACATCTCATAGTGGTCTTCACAAGTACCCTGATCCCCAATCTCAGGGCCTTTCTGGGCAGGCCACTGCCCCTCATCTTGATTGGCAGGCCATTGCTCCTGGCCACGATCCCCCTCTGCCTCACCATCATCGGCTGCCCACTGATCGTCGGGAGCACACTGCTCGTCGTCTTCATCGGGATCGGCAGCCCACTGCCCATCTTGATCGGGATCGGCAGCTTCCCATTCGTCTTCATCAGCATTGGTAGCCCACTGCCCATCTGGATCGGGATCGGCAGCTTCCCACTGCTTGTCTCCATCGGCATCGGCAGCCCACTGCCCCTTATCATCGGGATCGGCAGCTTCCCACTGCCGGTCTTCCCCGGCATTGGCAGCCCACTCCCCGTCTGGATGGGCATCCGCAGCCCACTGCCCATCCTCATCGGGATCGGCAGCCCACTCCCCGTCCTCATGGGGATCGGCAGCCCACTCCCCATCCTCATGGGGATCGGCGGCGCCCTGCCAATTCTGATCATCAGCCTCGTCCCACGCTTCATCCTCGCCGGGCTTTTCGGGCTCCTGCTCATTGCCACCAGTAACCTCATCCCACTGTTGATCCTCCGGCACATCTCCGACGTGCCAGATTCCATCCCCATCAAGCCAATGACAGCTTCCACAGACACTGCCAAGGGTCTGCGGGGGCTCGGTCTCCGGCTCGTCTTCCGAAACTTCTGGGTCCATCCCAGCTGCTTCGCAGTATTCCACATGCCCTTGGTGGGCCGCTTCCCAATCGAAATCACTGCCATCCTGCATGGCAGATCTGCCATATTGCACATGTACAATAATTCTAGATTCTAGCGGGGGAGGGTTCAAGGATTAGGGTTTCCCAACGGTCCTGGGCATAATACCGCGGCATCGGCTGATCGTTCGAGCCATCGTGATTCTCCTCAGGTCGATCAGCAGGAATACAAATATATATCGAAATTATCACTCGAGCCGAACATACATGCGTGTGGACTTGCAGTTTTCCGGACCAGGTCACTTTGCGCAACTCATCCATCCCATCCTTAATACACAGCAGATACAACCACACATTTGATATAAGTTTTGGATTGCAATCACAATCACACTCTCAAATTGCGGTCTACAGCAGCCTTGGGAGCAGGAGCTAGGTCGCCCCCTTCTTCATAATCATATTCAGCACCGTCGTAATCTTCATCATCATCCCAAGTCCCTGTCGGATCCACCTCCTCAGCTGCACAAAATGAGTGAAGAAGGACCGATCTGTTGAGCTATACATAGTCATCTGCAAATCGCGATTCATTATTTATTAACCGAAGCAGCTTCCGGGACCTCATCAGGAATGCAAACGTAGCTTGGCCTCGGCATGCAAAAAAGCACTGGGACATGTGTTTTCCGGCTTGTGAGCACGTGTGCACACATGTATGCCCATGTACGTACGTGTCTGTATACGTCTGTATATGTGTGTATATGTATATATATATATATATATATATGAATATATATATATATATATATATATGCACGTACATATATGTATATGCTGCCCAGCCACGTCTTCCCACGCAAGCGCAAGCGTTTCGATGGCCGGATGTCGCCGGGGTCCTTATATGTAGACATGAATGGTATTAAAGACTCTGGCCACAGGAATTGCAATGAGCCGTGCATATCACACCGCGAGAATTACGTGCTGTAGAAACCTCCCTCTCGATCTCTCTCTCCCGATCTCTCTATTATATATCGACAAGAAACACTGTCGAGGAGGCTCGAGGACATTTTTCTAACCAGAGCTTGCGAGTCCTGCCCACAGGGTTTTGAAGCTGAAATGTTCAATGCAAATTTCGATCCGCTTCCTAATATACACTCGGTCCTCATTCGGGTCCAGGTTCCACGGCTGTGTCTCGTCACAGTCCATGGCTGTTGGGGCAACGGTGGTTCTTCGGGCCCTCGACAAAAGCTTCGACAAACTAGATGATGTAGAGCTAAGCCAAGCTTCCTTTGAAAAGCCCGGTGTATCTGGGAGTTCAAAGCCAGGATTGTCGAGCAGTATCACCAGTGCATCCTTGATCATCCCGTCTGTAAACCATCGCCCTGCCCCTAGGTTGAGCTTGGAGGCCCACTGCAACCTTTCCCTTGTGGAACGATGCCTCAAAGAATTAGTGGGAACCAGGGCCCCTGTGTATCTGATTTCAGACAGATAGCTTTGGCAACAGTTCTCCCAGATCAATCTTGCCAGCTTCTCAACTTTCAACTTGCGAGCAACACCAGCTTCGATGGAGGGCATGGCTACGATGCTTACTATATGCAAAATGGGAACCAGCGCTAGCTGAAACCATCTCCGAAAAATTCGTTCTGGAGCTCCTGAAATCCAACCTACTACACTACATTCTGGGGGGCGTGCCTATATGCGTGTTGCAGGTCCGGCGCTCGAACAAAACCCTGTGGCATCCGATCAGAACGTTTCCAAGTCTTGCAGCCACTGGATGTCAGATCTCATGCCTGCTGACGAATGCACTCAAATCTCGTTCCCTGCATGAGCACATCGATCGCAATCTTCGCCGTCTATACCATGTCTGTATATATATATATATATGTCTGTAGATATGTGTATATATGTGTATGTATATATGCAGACACGCCCGCGTGCATGCATGTATGAATGTATGTGCGTATGTATGTGAATGTGTGTGCATGGTTAATATTAATGTATGTAATAATATTTGTAAATCTGTATGCATATATATACATACATATTGTGTATCCATGCTCTATATAACATGTATATATGTCTATGTATATATGTATATATGTATATATGTATATATGTATATATGTATAGATGTATATGTATATACAACCGTATATGTAGTGTGTATATGTGTATATGTGCATATGTGTATGTGTTTACATTCTTCCTTATGAATGTTATGGTCTGTGGGCTTAGGGTTTTTGCCGCAGTGGACCACGATGCTCGTGATCACGAAAGTCCGAGTGAAACGACACATGGCTGTACATTACCCGTGGTAATTGCCATGCGGTCTTATAACTAGACCGAGCAATGAACGAGAATCGTCTGAAAGTTGCGTAAATAGGATCTAACCAGTTAATAGGAACGAACCCGCGAACGGCATCTAGAAGTCGAACAGCCCGTGCTGGTAACTAACCTTTAAATTTTTGTTCAACTAGCAATATAGCAAATGTAACGAGAATTTATAGTAACTAATTGGTTCCCAACTCCATCCGATAGATACTGGCAACGTGCCTGTTACTAAGAAAAAATAGATTGCGACTACAGTATTCGCAAAATAACACTGAGTCATAACATGCCAACTACATGACCCAAACACAATACAAGCGAACAACATGCATATACATGAAACACCTAAAGGACAGGAAGCAAGTATTCGATTTGGTATCACTGAAATACTAACTAGCTTGAACTAATCAATAACCGCAGACTGGCGAGGTATCATT